ACTTATTTGTGGGATTTACATGGATTTATATTTGTACTTATTATTTATGCGTGTGAGAATATTCCCCAATTTTAGGATGAAGATTTTGTAGTGACACAGATTAACAACGATGTACATGACCACAAATTCACAGCTGAACGGAAAGGTAAGCTGAAGCAAATTTTTGCAAAAATTTATGTAATGTATGTTTGTGTGTGTGTGTTTTCACCTCAGTATTTCCTTAAAAGTACGCGGACTGGCCCTAGGTAGCAAAGTACCACACTGTAGTCCAAGGATGGCAACGTCTGCTGCTGCCCAGAGATTCCCTTCAGAAGGCGAAACGAACGTCAGGATCACCAGCAGGCTGGCCAGTCTGGCGAAGCAGATTCAGTCAAAACAACTGACTAAAAGTTGCCAGATGCGTGGATGAAAACGGAATTATAAAAGAATAACCTCCTGGATATCGCTGATACGTGATGCTTATTGATACTTTCATAATTCTGCATTTCTTCTGAAGTCGTAGTATCCAGGCAGTCTGAGGCATATTGTTTAAAAAATAGTTAAAAAGCCACCCGAACCACTAATATCGAAATGGATGATGATGAAATTCGCTTTTTTTTTTGTCGGAAACATGTCGGATTATGGCGAATAAAAGACAATTCGATAAGTAACAATTCACACTGCCTATGCGCACTGCTCCTTCAGTGTTTACAGCTAAGGAATGAAACAGACAGCTTTTCAGTATACTCAAACGTTTTATCTCACTCTTACATTCCTTTCTGTAAACACGGTAATCGCTATAATAAATCTCTATAATAAACCGCTATAACCTCTATAATAAATCGCTATAATAAACCGATTATAGCAATCAGGCTGACCCTGGAAGCCTAAGTGGCGAGCATGCGAAAGATTATAGAAAGAAAGAACAGTATGAGAAAGGAATGTAAGAGTGAGATAAGACATTTCGGTCCATTAAATTATATACGTTTTAACTCAACACTGCGTCAGGAATCGTCAAATTTAGGGCAAAATTTCTTGTACTTCCTAGCAATGGACACTGAGTTGCTTTGAAGTACAAAATGTTGTTTAGCAAAGCCAGCATGCTTCATCTCGGATGCGGATGCTATCGAATACCCAAACTGCCGTAACAAGATGGCTTGGATGCTGGAAGGATGGGAGAAAGATGAATGTTACGCAAAGTACGGTGTCGATGGGACAATTTGCTCATTTCGTGTGTATCTGTCGGAAGTTGAGAAGCATTGCCCGATGTTACCGTGGAGGAGCCGTACGCAGCAGAATTTGCCGAAACAGAAAAGGGCATCGGTAAGTAACTTCTCACTCACTGTGCGAGATTGTCGTGATAATCTTTCATGCGTTCTCGTCTTCCCACCCATCACGTAAACCCATTGTTTCATCGATCTTCTGTTTCGTGCTACACGAAAACATCAGATTACAGGTAATACACCACAACTTGTACATGGCAGTGCGTCTCATTTGCGCATTCCAGAGAGGCTAGTTACTTATATAGGACGCTGCTCGTTATTTGTATAAGTCACTCCATCCTCCCGCGCTGTAGCGCTTCCGCTCCGCCCTTCAACTCGCGCTTGACCCAGCTCTGCCCAGCCCCATTGGCCGCTGTACTCCCCCCGTCCTGTCGCACCCGTACCCCTTTGTCTCTGCTGGCTTCTTACCTATTTGTTGATAATTTATTTCAACTTCGAGCACTACGGAACACATAATAAGCCATTTTCGAAGTTTTTTTTAAATTGATTTTGTTCATTGTAATACTCTGGCGTAATGGCAAGTAGCACTGCTTATGAGAGAACCTCAGAAGAGGGAAGGTTTTTCTTCCCAGCCCTTTTTTTTTGGCATTTCCATTCCAGTCCTTTTTACAAATAAATTCTTGTTACAGGTGCAGCGAAATTTATCAAAACTTTTTATGCTTATGTATGACAGTGAGGTGAATTACGTGTTTATTCGAGAGCGTATCACTCGTTTGTGGCCAAAATGGTTGGATGCGTACAATGAAATGATCTCAAGGTGGCCTGAAACAGTGCTACAACGACAGAGGCTTAATGTATCATTATAGTGTGGAAGTCATTTTATAAAGTGTATGAAGCCTCATTTTTGTAGTTTTTTTTTTTTTCGGTAATTTCTGTGCCTACTAAAACGATGGGGAGATTCGAATCTAAGCCTGAATTATCCATGTTCATTTTGCAGTGTGTTATGTGCCATACATGATTTACTGCTGCACATGAGCTCTAAACTATGCTGTAGCTCCGGGTATTCCAGCAAACCTCTTTTTTTTTTAATAGGCACTTTGGGAAATTGAACTTTTTTTTTTGGACCTCCGACCAACTGACTTTAGTCAAAAGCAGTGGACTCGAAATGATTATTCATATCCCAATTATATAGAACTTGAAATCCTAGCCTTCACTGTGCTATTGGAAAGCCGTTGTTTTCATGGATCAATCCACGGGAAACCGTTGTTGGCCATATTTCACCAACCGGTCGTTCTTCGGTTTCTTATCAAGTAGGGCACCGTCGCAGCACAAATTTCGAGAAATTTGCGTTAAAAAGTGACAGGAGGAAGATAAACAAATGAAAGTCGCTAGGAATATCTGGGACTCCAGAACAGTAAGTATGGGTATTCCGTGTTAGTGATATTATTGGAATGCTACTGGACCTGGGAACAACTATGTCGGGCTGCTTGGCACTGAACTGCGTACCTTCAGTGTATGACAAATTCCATTAGTTAATGGAAAAGTTTTAAAAAAAAATCCATGAATGAAAAGTTTCCCGCGCACCAGACCTCTTATCTCATGAAACATGCAATTTTATTGGATAGTTATAATAGGAAAAAATAGAAAAAAGCGAAAAAGAAGGAAAAGGAAGGAGAAAAATGAAAAAGTTTTGTCGTTGCGGCAATTCTGGATTAAATAATAGTTTTTGTTTTTTAGATAATAATGCACATGGGATTCCTGAGTTCCGAATCAGGCTTTCGGTTCGGGGCATTGTCGTCTGTTGGTGGCCCATTGGGCGAACTTGTCCAATGGTCAGATTTGATTGCTGCGCTCTATCTGTTGGGGCACAGGCTGTTCATCTCAACCGAAATTGAAACGCTTAAAAAGTGAGTGCTTGGATTCCATCCTATGTTCAGCACCATGTTCATATTCACCGGGCTCGTTTCACGCAATTTTCATTCCATTCCGTTCAGTTCTGGTGTACCACATTTTGCAGATGCATTCAAATGGGCTAATTTTTGATTTTTACACGGATACCCTGCAATAATCGACTCTCTTTTTCTGTATTCCCCGCATTTTCACCGCCTGACCAGCTCATCTTTTCATTTTAACTGCTTTTTTTTCCTTAAAAATTATGTGTTGCTTCAACCTTTCACTTGAATTCATTTTTTTTTTTTTTTTTCATCAGAATGCACATACCACATATTTGGTTTTTTTCTTTTTAGAAATGTTGAAATTTTTGATTATAAAACGCCTTGTCCGGTGGCAAAACGAAAAACAATCAATCTTGTATTTA